CAAAAAAGAACACCAAAAGATATAGTATGGGTAAAAAAATATGTCCAACCATTAGAACCCCATTGAGGGGAGCCCTTTTGTTGTTGTCTTGTCTATCCACACTACAGTTAAAGTAACAAAATTGCTCCCTGGACCCACCACAGCCAGGTAAAGCCAGCCTCTCCCAAGCAGCAGTGCATCCCTGACTCAGCCTCACCATCTAAGATCATACTCCAAAACTCCTGCACCCTTCCTCAGCAGGACCCCACTTCCCAGGAGACAATAGGGGACCACAAACAACAGGATGACTAGTCACTCTGAATGCTGACTAGTCTACACACAAAAGAAGCTAGAACATGGGATTCACCCCTGCTCTTCTCTACACACCTGGACTCTTACCTTTTTGGGATGGCCATTGTAAGGTTTCCCCCATGTACTAAATGTTATAAAAGAGCCATTGTTGGGACCTCCACACAACCATGCTTTGTATCATACACCCACCAACAGGTCAGATGTTACATGGTCTCTTATACTCCCAGGTTAACGAGGTTGCTTGTAAGTGATGCTGAAAGTCCCAGGGTAAGAGGAACAATGCAGGCTACATTTGTCACAAAAAGCAGGGCAATGGGTCTTACCCTAGAAACTTGCTTAATATCACTCTGCCTGGTTCCCATGGTATTGCAGTCTATCATGACCACTATGGAGGCCACTATAAAAAGGAAAATGGCCATGCATGTAATGACGTTATGGAAATACAAACCCCTAGATCAAGATGATGCTCTTTGACCCTAGTTGGACTGGAGCATCAAAGGGGGAATGATGTAGCAGGGAGGTGAACCAGAAGAGAAACAGACAGGCTGTGTTCTGATAATGAGACAGGGGGAAGGGATGGCAATGCAAAGACATAAAACTTAAAGAATTGAAACATGAAGAAGGTCACATAGCACTAGGGGAATGAAATAGCCAATGAAGTCATATGCAGCCATAGGTGGGTTGAGATTTGCTTTTTGCTTCTGTAACCTGCTTGCAAAGGTATATAAGGTGAGACCCCCTTTGTTCTCAGGGCTCAGCCTTTGGACAGTTGTCCTCTGAGTCTGTGTCAGCACAATAAAGCATTGATTCCTGCTAAATTGCCTCAGTGTCCTGTTTCTCAGCATGAGATTCCCACAACAGTTCTATAGAAAGAAAGCCAAGAAGGCGTTTTCCTATCTTAAATTTAGTTAGTGACAAGGTAAATTTACTTGGCAGAAAATTTAGTTCACCAGCTGTCAGTATCAGGACCAGAAGACAACAAATTATTCTTTTGCTAAAAGAGAAATTAGTGAAAATCATCCTTAAGGTAGAGATATCTTTATGTGAATAATGCTAACAGGATTTTTAAGAAGAGTCATAAAATATTAAGGAAATATATAAAGTCTATAGATTTAACATACTGAAAACACCTGCCATCCATTGAAGCAGTATGACTTTTACAAAGATGGCAACTGGTATCCATTTGTTAGACAAATCATCTTGCTTTCTTTTCTTTTCCTTTTGCATAGTAAAAACTGCGAGCAGTGAAACTCGAATTTAATACTCTAAAATTTTTAGGTCAGGACAGGCTTCCCACTTGAGCTTACAATGTAAATATATGGAAATATCAAAACATGAGATTCCTTGCATCACTGGGTTCTCACACAGCTTGGCCATTTGTACTGATATCTGAGCTTCATGCCTCTCTGAATGTTATTGGCGATTCAAACTTGATCCATTGTAAAGGGCAGTAGTAAAGAAACTCAGATATTCAATGTTGATGAAGCACTTATCATACCTTTGTCTTTACTGTATCTTTACTGTACTATAGTTATTTATTTGCCTCTGTATTTAACCAGAATAATTATGTGGGTCTTAGTATCTTTGTAATCTAAGCAGAACTTTAGAAGTGAATGGTAAGTGCTTCAATAGAAAGATGAGCAGATGAGAGACTCCTGGTTTGGAGGGTTCTTCTAACACACACTGTCTTCCAGGAGATTTTCATCATAACTCTTACAAAGGAAGTTTTTTCATGTGGGAAGATTTTTGCCCTCTATGGAATTTAGTGACACAAAGAGCATGTCTTCTATTTTTTCCTCTTGCAAAGCAAGAACGTACACTGATCAGGACACAGTGCTGGCTACATGTGAGTCCCAAGCAATGATTCACCAATGGCTGTTGGTTTTGATCCCAGGTGAATAGTGTAGGTTGAAGGTCACATTAGACCTAGTTGTAGCAGAATCTTAGCAAATAGGTGTTTTGGAGAAAGATGAAAACATGGTAGTTTGGCTTCCTAAAAGAATCAGGAAGGCATTGGGTTGAGGTGGGCTAATTATATCATTGACAGTTATGATGTGTTCCCTCTTTTTTCCTCGTCTGAATGCATTGTGTGAACCTCTATGGTTGGGAAGGTAGCCTCAGGTCCTTCAAATCAAAACCTTTAATATCTTCATGTTTTGCATCCTCCTTTCTCCCTGATGAGATGAATTGGTCTGTAGTTCTGGAAGACCCCTAGAGGGGAGTCTTCAGAAGTAACCATAGAGAGAGGAACCAGAATCCCAGCCACTCGCTGTTGCAGTCTGGAGTCTCACTGTTTCTCACCGTGACACTTGTAAGGGAAAGGCAGGTGTTGACTACTGGCAGAAGTAGTAGAGGGATTTTTAAACTCCCTTTATATTCAATACTGTTTGTGATCTACAGCGGTTGAGAAGCCACTTGAGTCTTCAAACCTCATTTTCTACTTCTGTGATAGTAGCATTACACAGCAAAGCCAACAAAGAGACTGAAATGCATTAGAATTTCCTGAGTTGTCAATCTTAGTTTTCCTGGGTATAGTGTCTAAATTTCCCATGTCTGTCTTTTATTGAATTATATCTCTGTAGGGCTCCATTATTCCAGAGATTTCATAGGTATGCTGCAGGTAAACCTCCATCCAAGCCATGTAAATTGTCTCATGCTTTACCTGAAACAACTCCTGGACAGGGAGACTATGTTCAAGTAACCCAATATCTGGTGCCATTTGTATACAGGAACTTCCCCCACTTGGTCTTGAGTCAGTGCATGGATGAATATGTGTATTTGCTTATTATTTTTTACAGGAACAACTATGGATTTTGTCTGGTGCCACCTGGAGAAAGCCTTCAGCCACAGGTGACATATCCAATGGTAGGTATTTCCAGATTCTCATCAACTCCCAAATAAAGAAAGGAGACATGTGAGATGTTGTGAATGAATACATTTTACATGGGAGATGCCCAACACTCAGGCCAGTGTCCAGCAGCTCCAAAATTTACAAGACAGAGCCATAGGAAATGTTGGTGTACAGTGATTGGTAACCTTTGGATTTTTTTTAAAGTGCCAATTGAGTTGTTTACTTATTTCCCCAGAATGTGAACTCTGAGATCAAAGTAGAGGTCAACTGCCAACGGGGGAGAGAGTCCATGACTCCTCCAACTACAGGTAATTCACAGCCTCTTAATTTCTGCAGAGGGCTGACATTGAGGAACGATAAAGAGAAAATGGTGTCAACCGGTATAGATTAAATATCTTCTGCTTTTGGTGAGTTTTAAGGTCACTGAGGGGATTTTTTCCATGTATTCCTGGAGTCACCAGGCTATGAGTAAACAGAACATGGGTCAGAGTGACCATAATGATCCTGTATGACTTCTGAACCCTCAGTCATGGGATCATTCCCATCAGAAGTGTGTTGGGGGATCACAGGTGACAGGCACAGCTCTCCCCTAGACAAGCTTTTAAAATACCTTCTTCATCTATTTGTGAAATCAGTCATTCATCAAAAGCCAGATCTTATCTGCCATACCCTATACCTCTCCAAATAAAAGACTGGGACGGTCTTTCTGGAGTCTTACATGCTGTGTGTGCTGGGTGTTGTGACATCTGTCATGTCATTTATGGACAAGATGTTTGGGGTCCACTTGGCCATGTGGCCTTTTATTTTCTTATTCTGTCATTTCATGCCCATTGATCTTAGACCTGCAGTATTCCAGAGAGACGTGACCATTTTGTGAACCACAGTTTGTCTAATTCATACTTCTTTGAGGGGCTGCCCAGAGAGCAGCATAAATTTGATATGCCTCACGTCAGCACAAATTTAGTCATTCAAGCCTAGTCTCTTATTTAGGGATCCACTGGCAAAAGAATCCTGGCAGATGAACCTGAACCTGCAGTGATGGTGATGGAGGAACAGGTGAATCTTCTTATTATAGTAACAATCCAGGAAGATGGAGTCGTCAGCAAAAACTCTCAGGGAAAGGACCTACAGAGGTCCAATAATCTCTCTCAACTCAGCCAGTCTAATGGGACATATTGAGACATAATGGTGAGAAATACACAGACTGTTCCTTTATTAATCTCACAACCTGATAAGAGAAATATGCATGGAAACCACCAATGGTGGTAGAAAGTGAAAAGGTCAATAGAAGGAGGAAGAAATTTTATTTATTGGAAGGGGTTGGTGGGGAAAACCACCACCATATTGATTCTTTGCTGAGCTGAGTTTTGAAGGATGTTAGACATCTCTAGGGGGACACAGAGATTCTAGGAGGGGAACCTGCAGAAGTAAATTTCAGTATATGTAGTTTGTTGGGAATAATACCATGGATTTTGTAATGAGAACTGCCAAGGAGATAAGGGTGAGTTAGATCAAATTTAATGCTGATGTCTTCACTTGAGTTACTGATAAGAATAACCTTTGGTTATTCCAAAAACATTAGCTGAGTTGCTCATTGATTTTTGAAAGAAAATAAACTCAAAAGTGGTCGAAGAAGGGTTGAGCACAATACTGTGCTAACTCCTCCTTGTCCTGATGCCCAAACTCTGCTATTGCTGCCCTGCCCCTGCCTCCTTTCCCAGTATGTAAACACTGCAGGCTGGACTCCCTGAATTACAGCAGCACTGGAAGAGGAGGCCAGTAGGTCCAGATTTGCAAAAGGCAGGAGAATCAGCTGGAAGAAAAACTCAAAAGAGAGAATTGCTGAAGGAGATTGGCCATGGACCTGTTCCCCAACTTTTCCATAGAGACCTGGGTCCTCCTGGCTACCACCTTTGTAGTCCTCTATCTGTGAGTAACCACCAGGCTCCTCTCCTCTGTATGCACAAAGTTGGGGTGCCAATCAGGCCCCTATTTCTCTTATCTGTTTAGAAGATCAAAAGGTACTGGGGGGCATAGTTGATATAAACACCAGTGCTCTTCTGGGTCTTTTCTGATCCCTTGAGGTCCTAAGTCCATATTCCTGTGGCAAGGAAGACTATTGACAAGGTTTGTTCCTGGTGATGAGCTGAATGACTCTCAGTTTTGTCCTAGACTAATCAACCAGATTTTAGCTGACACAGATCACAAATGTATGGCCCAGTGCAGTGGGAAACTCGTCTCCTTCCCAAGCCTTGTAAATCCTGGGGGCAGCCAGGTTGTTTGGCTTTCTGTCTCATTATTTGTTTTATCTGCTGCAGAAATATGGGGGAAGTCTTGATCCTTCTAGATGTGGTTTTTCCTGCTGCTTTTCCTTCCACACTCTTGCATGGTTTACCTAAAGTTCCAAAGTACACCACAGACTTCATGGAAGGATCAGAATGATACTCTCCAATTTTTGTGACATCCTTAAACTATGAGTCACTCCTAAAGAACAATTTCTCCATCCTTCAACATGAAGAGTTATTCACTTGTAAACAATGAGTATTTAGAGCAGAGAACAGCTGGTGTTAAGTCATGGAGAGTTACCCCAACCCCTAATAGGCCCTTTCTAGTGAAACCTTCAAGCATACTTTATTTCATTTTAATGCCATTTTACAGGATTTACATGATTTTTACAGAATGTTAAAACCAATACTACCTTAACACTCACCTATAGAGAAGAAGAAACAAGGTATTAATTTAACTATCTGAACTATATTATGTGTTTTTGGCAGTACTAGAACTCAGGAAATTGGTATGCAGGGTCTCCACCACTTGATCCACACTTCCAGTCCTTTGTGCTTTCGTTTATTTTTCAGACAGGATCTCATTCTCTTGCCCAGGTCCAGCCATGGACCTCAATCCCCTCACCTTCACCTTTGGCACAGCTGTGATGACAGTTGTGATGTAGCTGTCCAGGGCATACAAGGTTAAATGTGAAGACTGGCAGGGAAGAGAAGATCCAAACCATCCCCCAGACTGCCCCAAAATGCCCCTGTCAAGGTTAGCACTGGACTTCTTGTGGTCCCCTGCATCCTGCAAAGTGGGGAAAGGGCAATTACCAGTTCTAACCAGTTCTGAAGACCTGTGCAGTGTAGCACACCTGTCACTGTAGTAACTTTTCAGGTGTGTTTTTCCCTACTTAGGGCTTCATAGATAGTACTTGCCTCTCACACATACAACTATAGCAGAGCGAATTATGGAAAGGAACATGTGTAGTCAGAGATCAGATATATAATATCTACCTCTCAATCAAATTTGCTAATTTACCCTACCTGTAGGAATGCCCAACTTTCTCTTGCCAGCCTGATTCAAGCCACATAAAAGCCAGGGAGACCCCAGACCAAGGGGCTCTTGCGTTGCAGGGCTGGAGTACACATTCTCCTTTGATGATATTACTTTCATTTTCTGCTTTCAATACATTTTGCTACTTTGCCACACACTCCTGTCTCTCGCATCTCCAGACAAGAGCCTGAGGCACTCACCCAGTCTCCAATAACAGGTGAGCACCACAGGCAGCTTGCTTTCTGAGGTTGCATCTCACCACGTTTTACCCAGGCTAGCCTTGAACCCCAGTGTCCAAATAACCACCTACTGCACTCTTGGGATTACAGGTCTGAACCACCACACCTGGCCATGGTTTCTTATATAATTTTGCATAATACATCCATTGCTAGTAATGGGAGGTTACCTGAATTTTGGGAAACTTTCTCTGTTGTAGCTGAAAGCATTCCTCAGTGATAATAACATTTATATATACCATACGCTTCAGCCATGTTTTCTCAATTTGCTGCTATAAGGTCGACCTTGTGAGACCAACAGCAGCAGCAAGTTTAAAATAGTTACTGGCAGTCTCTTTCCTCAGTCTGTCTTCTTTCCCTAGTCTGACATCTGTCAGTCACACTGAGTGGGAAAATTTTCAAGATCCAGAACCCCCAGCTGTCAGAGTCCAGATAATCTCACATCAGTGATCAGTTGTTGGCAGCCCTGCCCCAGGGAAGACCAGACCCAGTGGGGTTTTGCATAGAGATAGTTGGTGCACAGGGGCAGTAAACTGACTTCTTTGTAACTGATAGTCTTGGTCAATATTACCATGGCTGTCACTGTTCTTACCAATAGGGTATCACCAGTTGGAGGTCCAGATTTTATGAGGAGAAGAATGGTCTGAAAATTGAACTTTGGCCATTTATTCAACTGCACAGTGTCCTTCAGGAAACACATCGGATATCAGCCTTAGCTATAGCTCAAGACAACCACATTCTCTGACACCACAGGTTTAGGAGTCTCCAGAATGTGTTCAAATTTTTTGGAAGCCATGAATACAGTTGTCATTCTATAGAACTGAGAACACTGTGACTGTGTTCATGTGTTCTGGGATTTAATAAGGTCTAGGTTCTAAAATATGAATATGGCTTAGAGGAAGGGAAAAATAAAAATATTTTAAAAATAAGAAAAAAATGTTACCATAGACTCTTTACAAACCTATGTTATTGAGTAGGTGTATTATGTAAAATGTTATCAGAACACAAGACAAAATTTCACCCTTTCTAGAAGAATGACAATCACCACTTCATGGAAAAAGCAATTACCTAAAATTGAACATAACCAAATAAAATGCCCTGGAAATTTTCTAACCTGAATCTCTCAGGGACCCTGAAGTTTGGGGATGTTTACCAAGTATAGATTAAAGCATAAAGACATCAGCTAGTTTTAGATAATCATTGTGAATTTAGGTGTCTCACAGTGGAGGTGGGAAAGGAAATAGTGAGTGAAGTAATTATTGCTGTTTGACTTTTTGCTGTTATTTATTGCCTGTATGTTACCTCCCTGGTTTTATTGTTTCAGATCCTATGTTGGTGAGTGGTGAATCCCCATATTCCTAAAATCAAACTCCTTGTGACCTTGCATTCTCTTTCACTTCATAGATATGGGACCCATGGATATGGACTTTTTAAGAAGCTGGGGATTCCTGGGCCAAAACCTCTCCCTCTTTTGGGAACTTCTTTGTCATACATCAAGGTGAGTGCAGTTTGAACTCACATTTTTTTTTCCAAATAAAGGCTTAGTTTTATCAGTAAAAGGGAGGAAGTTCTGGGGTTTCAGACTTTCAGAAACTGTTTGTGGGTACCACCCAAAGCATGGGCAGCTTTCCCTAGGGCTCTGTGGTCAATTTTGGAGGGACTCATATTTACCTCAGTGGAACAGCTCACATCTCTGGCACACCAGCATTTAATGTTAAGGACATGATTCTCAGTGACTATGAAAAAAGGGTTTTGTTTTTGTCTAGTGCAGATTTTGGAAAGCTATAGTGTTTAATTAGTACTAGGAGAAATGTATGAAGGGGTTCCCCAGTAGCACCTCATCCACCTGTGTGCACCAGATCCAAATTTTCCTGTTTGTACCAGAACTCATAAAGAGCTTTTTCTCCCCTTCCTGATAAATAGCTCTGAAACATCAGTTTATGAGGAAGTCGGTGCATTTTCTTTTGGGGGATTTGCATATACTTAATTTTCTCAACGACTACTGAATCTCCTGTAGTTATTTCCACTGCTCCATCCAAGCTTTTGCCACTCACGACATCTGTTTGATATTTAAGAGACAGAACAAGAGAATTCCACGAGATTCTAGAGGGATGTCATGAGTTAAGTGAAAAGCACACTGAATGAGAAGATGAGAGTGTGCACAGCCCCAGAAAACTTACTTCCCCACAGTTCAGTTTATCTCAGGATTTTAGACACAACTTATGTACAAGCAAACATCACTCTAGATAAACAGCTACATAACCTGTGCAGACAATAATTCCTTCAATATTGTTGATACACTGAGAAAATTAAAGAATGACTTTAAATAACCCATTTCAAGTATCTCCTGCCTTTTCTCTGCATTCTCCTCTGACATGGAATAAGGGCCCCCCTCTAACTGCCAGGGAGGGACAATCAACTTGATTTAATGGATTACAGTCATTTGTGCCCCAGTTAGACATGAATCGGTACATTCAGTAAAATAATGGATTCTCATTTTATTTTTCTTTCGAGGGTCTGTGGAAATTTGATACAGAGTGCTACAAAAAGTATGGAAAAATGTGGGGGTGAGTATTCTGGAAACTTGCATTGGGTAGACTTGTTAGGATGAGGATGACATTAACCCACACTCTTGGACTACAGCTCTCTACTGTAAAGCTATTGGAAGCTTTTGCTACCCAGGGTTCCACATGTCACCAGCTGTTTATGTCTGAATTAGGTTAAGAGTGTTGTCCATTAAAAGTTTTGTCCTTGCTGTGATGACTCACAGACTCCTTGCCTCACATTGTTCCAGTTGGGCTATTGCCCTCTTTTCCTTTTTCTTTCCTTAGCTCTTTTTAGTTGCATAAAATGCATTATTTCAAGTACATGATCATAACTGCACGATGGTGTCTCCTTCCCGTAATCATCTGTTCTTAGTTAAAAGCCCAGACTCCTGTAAGTCAATGCTGAATGCAATACACGACTTTCAAATACCAGCTGGAAAATATAGAAAGCAGATTGGGAAATAATTTATGTTCAGCCTTTTTAGCTTTCTGTACAAACATAGAGTTTTCCTTTTGTTCTGTAAGCCTAGAATTTTTAATGGTAGCTTTATTGGCATCTCCTTGTTTAATGCATTCTACTGACTTTGAAGGACAGATGTAGGTATTTTTAAAGCAACGCATTTCCTGGAGAGCTGAAATGTTTAATGGGGTTTTTATAAAAAGTGCTCTGAGCCAATAGCAGCAGATGTTCCCTTTCAGAGCTGCTGGAGGTTTGGTGAGAGCATTGGAAGAGGTGTAATCATTGTGCTCTTCTGCTACAAGCAGGTGGGAGGAGGCTCAGACACTTCCATCCTCTTCATCTTCTCTTTTCTATCCTTAGAAACCACAGGGCTGGCCACAGTCTCTGATGGCTGACATAATCCATAAAGACCACGTGACCCAATGACAAGAGCACTCACCACTGCACCTCTAAGGACCCAAGTGCAACTGCTCCTTGCAGCCTTAACACTTGTGCTTACTTAACAGTTTAACTTTTCACTGATCTAATATCTTTTTTTGGTATGAAATTTAATTTTTTTTCTGGTGCTTGGAATTGAACCCAGTGCTTAATGTATCTTAGGCAAGCAGTCTACCACTGAGCTACATCCCTGGCCCAGATATTGAAATATCTTAAACATAAAGAGATTATGGTGAGTGGTATAGACAATCCCCATGCATGCAACATTTCAGCTTGCCAAAGCTTGCATGTTATTTCCAATTATGCACTGTTTGAAGAGCTATTTTGCTTTTAACGATCTCTTCCATGCTTAAGCCACATCACCCTTTATTTCCTGAGAACTCCAATGACTTCTGTGAGCAGAATCCTTCATATGAGCAAGGAGTAGGTGCTTTCATCTATTGTACATCTAACTAGGGGCATGGATGATGTAATGATAGGATAAAAGTCTGATTTCTCTGTATGACTCCAGTTGCAAAATCCTGCTTACTAGGTAGGATTTGCCAGCTCTGTTTTCCCAATACAGGTTGTATGATGGTAAGAGTCCTGTGTTGGCTATCATGGATGCAGAAATGATTAAAACAGTGCTTGTGAAAGAATTTTATTCTACCTTCACAAACAGACGGGTGAGCATCCGAAATTTAAAAACATGAGATCTTTATTAAGTTTTTATTTTGAAATAATTACTGATTGACAATACCTTGCTGAAACAATGTACAGGAAGGTCTATGTACCCCTAATGTTGTTTGTCCTAATTGTATAACATTACCTAAGTTTCTTGGATCCTCATTGTGTATGTGTGTTTGTGTTTGTCCATAGCTTTTGGCAAATTTAAGAATGTACAGATTTGTACAAAGACCAGCATATTCATGAGACAGAACTCTTCCTTCATCACAAAACTCCCTCTCACCAGTCTTTTTTCTCCAGTAATTTTTATTAGGATATTTTTGTTGTACAGGGGGGATTCATTATGATAATTCCAAATAGGCTTATATTGTACATTGGTTAGATCACTCCTACTGTCTCTCCCTCTTGACCCCTTGCCAACCCTTCTTAAAACTATTGCAAGAGGTTTCTTTGTACTAGTTCATAAAAGTACAAGAAGTCCATAAACCATATTCCCTCCCCTTAATCTCCTTTGTCCACTCTCCCCCGGCCCCAAACATCCCCCCACTCTTCCTTTTTTTTATAGCACTTGCAAGCACTACAAGAAGGTGAAATACTTAGGTTTTAGCTCACAAAATATGTGATTCCTTACATATGAATCTTTCATAATATGAAAGATGTGTCTTTCAAGATGTGTCTTTCATAACATGAATATGTGTCTTTTAATATTTAAGTTGATATTCAAAGGGGTTTGTAATGTGTCCAGCTATGGAGATACTTTGGTCAATTCAACTTGTTCCATTTCCCTTATCCCTTTACCTCCCACCTCCCTTCTTCAGCAGCTTTCAGTACACATCCTTATATCCTCTACCTTCACAGATGGTATGTTTTATAATATTACTGATGCTCTGTTAGTCTCTTTTCCTTTTCCTCCTTCCCAGAGTTTGATAGAGTAGTTCCATTGTCACAAAGATGTTTTGCATGTGATTTTGTATATGATCTTTTTTGTTTTTGTGTATATGTTTATCTTTGTATCTATCTTCCACATGTGGGAAAAACATGGGCCTTTTGTGTTTCTGATCCTGGCTAACTTCAATCAACATGTCCTCCAATTGCATCCTTTCACCTTCAAACCACATGGTGTCATTCTTCCTCATCTCTTGCCAATCTTTTAAAGTCACCAAGTGTAGCTTGTCTTTTTCTATCAAGATGGTCTTATCCATCTTTCTTTTCATGGATGGTGATTTTGGTGCCTTGTCTGATAATTATTAATCTAGCTCTCCTATGTGGGGTTTTTTTTGTAAAAAATGTATTTTTTGTATTTTAATTTTTTGTATTTTAATGCTTATCATTGTATCTATAGTCTAATTGTGCTGATTTTTTAAGAGGTATACGGTTTGGGTCAAGGACCATGCTTGTCCACTTGATCCCGCACCATTCTGGTGAAGGCTTGCCCTCCTTGGAATTCCGCTTGCATTACTATTAAGAGCCAGTTCTATTTGTATGGGTCTGGTTTTCATTGTCTACTTTCTTTCATTGATGACTACGTCTTGTCCTTTCCCATACTGTCTTGATTTTTGTAACAAAAATTCTAATGTCATAGAGAGTGGTTCTTCCCAAATATTTTTGAAAATGGTATGAGCTATTCATGGCCCTGTGCTTTCTCATCCTTTGCCTTACATAGAAAAAAACTTGTTTATCACTAAAAAATTCTTGGTGAGATCTAGATACAAGCTGAATTAAACTTATAAATTCATATAGGAACACTCTTTATATTTAATATATTATGGCAGCTTCCATCCCATGAAGACAATGTGCCTGTGCACTTCTTTTGGTTTCCTTTGATTACTCTCATCGACAGTGTGTAAGTCTCAGCTTAGAGACTCACACATATCTTGTGAACTTTATACCTAAGTATTTCACCTTCTTGTAGTGTTTGCATATGGTATTGTGTTCTTCATATTTTTACAGATTATTATTAGTACATACAAATGGAATTGACTTTGGTGTTCATCTTTTATCCTACAACATTACCAAACTCACTTATTAGTTGCAAATTTTTTGTGTGTTGTCTGAGATCTACCTTGATAATGATGGCACTTGAAACCAGAGAAACATCTACACTCCCTTCTGTAATCTACATAATTTGTATTTCATTTTCTTGCCGTATTGCACTAGCAAGGACACCCAAAATGATGTTGAATAAGAGGGATGAGAGCAGAGTCCTTTAATTTTTTTCCTGGTCTTAAAAGAAACATTCAGCCTCCCACCATGAAGTATGAAGTTAGCTGAAGATTTTATTTGTAAGTGCTTTTTATAAAGTTGAGGATGTTTACATCTGTTCCTACTCTGCCGAGTTTTTATCATAAAAGGGTGTTGGAAGATTCTATTTTAGAAGAAAATGTCACTATGGAGAAAGCTTTCAGCCTGAAGTAGAATTTTCTTTCTTTCTCCTGTGTCTCTGACTAAAGAATGAGTGGGAATGAAATTCTATGTGGTTGCCTTTTTCCTTTAGAATGATAAATAAATTGCTATCACTTTAAGTATTAAAGTCCTTTGCGCCTGGAAGAACAGTTTCCCCCACACAAAAGCGGTTGGCATTCAAATGCAGACAAGAATACAAAGGCTTAAAACCATATCAGGTGGTTGGGTGCTCTTTCATTCTTATAGGTAACAGGGAAACTGAAAAATGTTTACTGAGCATCTGGCATGGGACCTGCCACCTAAGAGACAATTGTTAAATATTTGGTAAACAAGTGGTATCTCTTTAACAGATTTTCTTTTTAAAAAAATTCATTTATTCACATTTATTGAAAATTTTTGAATCGATTATACAATATAATCTTATGATTTTTAATTTCTTCTGTTGTGATGATTATATTTTCCTTATCCATTCTATATTTAGCTATATGCAGTTTTACTCCCTCTTGCCCCCAGTAAGGTTAGCTAGTGGTTTGTATGTTTTCTTGATTTTTTAAAATTTTGTTATTCATTTATTTATATGCACATACATTGTTTGGGTCATCTCTCCCCGCAGCCCCTTGCTTCCAGGAAGAACCTGTTCTGCCCTCTTCTCCAATTTTGTTGAAGAGAGGACATAAGAGATAACAAGCAAGGCATAGCATTTTTGCTAGTTTGAGATAGAGCTAGATATACAGAGAATTCCTAGCATTACTTCCATGCACATGTGTATTACAACACACATTGGTTCATCTCTACCAGATCTCTTCACTACTTCCCAGTCATCTTCTCATAGTGGCCTCTATCAGTTCAAAATTACTTTATTAGCTCCTCTGCAATGGGTACATCAAACACTTTCAGGTTTTTGGTTTCCTTCCCTTTCCCTAGTCTTCCTGTATGTATTCTCTCCTTAGCGTGTGACCCATGTCCAATAATATTAGTTCATTTGTTTTAGGTCTAAAGTCTGCATATGAGGGAGAACATATGATTTTTGGCCTTCTGAGCCGGGCTGACTTCACTTAAGAAGATTTTCTCCAGTTCCTTCCATTTACTTGAAAATGACAAAATTTCATTCTTCTTTGTGGCTGAGTAAAATTCCATTGTTTATAAATACCACATTTTCTTAATCCATTCATCAGTAGTGGAACATCTTGGCTGTTTCCATAACTTGGCTATTGTGGAAAGTGCTGCGGTTAACATGGGTGTGCAGGTGCCTCTGGAGTAACCTGAGTTGCATTCCTTAGGGTATATCCCTAGGAGAGGTATTGCTGGATCATATGGCAAATCTATGTTTAGTTTTAAAGAATTCTCCATATTGGTTTTCCAAGTGGTTGTACTAGCTTATCTTTAACAGATTTTCTATCACTGTGGAGATATCCACAATTAATATAAGCAAAATGTATTTTTTGGAGTATAGGACATTGGTCCATTTGGATTTATGGGAAAAGCTGTCTCTATAGCTAAGGATGAGGAGTGGAAGAGGATACGAGCATTGCTGTCTCCAGCATTCACCAGTGGAAAACTGAAGGACGTAAGAAAATAAAGATATTTCACTAGAGACTTACAGAACAAACCTGGAGACAGGCAGAAACTAAGGTTATTGTCCCTTTCCAAGAGGTACTTCTCAGAGTTTGAACTTCCTAAAAATGGTCTTTTTTTGTATGGGGGGAGTATTACTGGGGTTGGCACTTTCTGGACAGGTGCTCTATTAGTTAAGCCACACCTTTCTGCTGTATTATTTTGGAGATAACGTGATCTAGCACATTGTGCTATTTGTGCTTCCCGCTCTATCTGAGACGACAAGTGTGCAGCACCACAGTTTTACTGTTGATATGAGGTCTTGTGATCTTTTTGCCCAGGCTGCCTTAGCTCCAACTGTGATCCTCCGGATCCCAAGTAGGTAGGATGACAGTCATGTGCCACCACACCCAGCTATTAGTTAAGATGGGGTTCTCACAAACACTTTTTTCCTGGGCTGACATTGAATTGCAATCCTCCAGATCTATCTCAGTCTCCTACTTAGCCAGGATTGCAGGTATAAGCCACCATCCCTCAACTAGGAATGACCTTTTGTTTTTATGTCCTAGATGACCCACTATAAAATTGATTGTGAAATGTCACTTATTGCTTCATAATTGGGAATTTCTAGGACTTGAGTCTGCACATTGAACTCCAAGTGGTATTGTTTTGTGTTTAGATGTTCCCCATCATTACACAGTATGGAGATGTGTTGGTGAAAAACCTGAAGCAGGAGGCAGAGAAAGACAAACCTGTCACCATGAAAGAGTGAGTAGTGGTGGAGTTTCTGGGGTTTTGGGATCTGTCAGGAGACCTCCAACTACCTGCCAGGGAGCTGAAATTCCCACTGTTGAGTTCTCCACGGACAAGGCAAAAGCAGGAGTATGGTGTTACAGCTGCAATGGGTCACCACAAATGGGAGGTTAGCAGAAGACAGGGTTCCTGAGTATTGGAGCCAAAATTAACTTAGCTGCGTATTTGTTCCTTGAACATTCTAGACAAAATACATAATTTAGAAAGAAGAAACATAATCATACCAACATTATGAGTGCAGAGCATAGGGATATGTGAGTGTCCTCAACATGATACATATTGAGCTGTGGGTGGGACAAGAAAATTGTAATGTGGGACTGGGAAAAACTTCAAAAAAATCTTCATTCTTTGCTGAGGATATGAACAGAATACTGATTATTAAATATTTCCTCCACTTCTATTTCCTCCAAATTCAAAAGAGAGAAGGCTCTGAAAATCGTATGGGTAGTATAACCCTATCACTTTTATTGGATAATCTGGGGCATTTGAGTTAGGCAGAAACCACTAGAGTACATTGAGACTGAAATTGGCAAGCTGGTGAGGTTGTGGTCACTTAGCTCTGGGATTCAGCCAAGTCAATTTTGGAGAGTTATTACTATATTTTATCCAGGAACATTTCTGGTTCTTACATTTTGTAGAAATATCTCTGCCTTCAGAGCAGCCTCAGATCCCCAGAGTTGAGGAAGAGAGGGTCTATCAGGAGACTGAGCAGATGGTGTGGAGAAGGAGGGTGATGTTCTAGCCTACTCAGAACAGGGTGTCACTGTTCTGTAATGAGATGAAGAGGAATCAAGTCTGTACACAGAGTTTGTGCTGAGACAAAACCAAAATCAATGTCCCCTTTCTTGAGTTCCCTAGGATGATTCAATTACTTAACCTTGTCCTTTGAAAGCACAGTGTTGACACTGCTATCATCCACACTCTGCTCACACTGCTGTCATTTGTCTGGTTCTGGATCTCTGTCTCACTATGACTTGGTTGCCTGAGCTCAGAGGTGAGTGTAACTCACCTTCGAGTCCCTGCCAGCCCAGCACAGGAAAACTGTACCACTGGAATGTGACCATCACCTCAAGAGTGAGTCTAGTGGGAGCATGCACTAGTTAAGTGATCCTGCAGGTACTTCTGGCACCATGTGACTCTCCGTCTGTCTTGAGCTGGCATATGAATTACCTTGCACTTCTTTCTGTGTGTATAGCAGAAGAAGGTGGAAATGGCACAGGTATTAATTTTCAAGGTCTTTCTCTACTCAGCATCTTCGGAGCCTACAGCATGGATGTGATCACTGGAACTTCATTCGGAGTGAATGTAGACTCCCTCAACAACCCCCAGGACCCCTTTGTGGAAAAAACCAAGAATTTCCTAAAAGTTGATTTATTCAAGCCATTGATATTCTCTGTAGGTAGGTAGGCTATTTCATCTCTATTTCTTCTTCCTTCTCACTCTCCCTTCTAAATGACATCTTTATTGAAATTCACATGTCATACATTACTGGCTGTCATGAAAGTTGTTGAACAAACCAAGGTATATTCACAGGCAAGATACATCAGAAAACCCTTTGAACCCTTAGAAACTATAATGAAAGACAGGACTGTAATATAGGTACAGTGTGTATGCAGGGTACTTGTGGGAGGGGGAGAGGGAATGGAAATTAAGGTGAGGGAATATGGTGAATGGACTTCATATACTTTTATGAAATAGAGCAATGAAATCTCTTGCAATTACTTTTAGTGGGGAGGGAGTGGGTGGCGGGGAGAGATGGTAGGGATGATCTAACCAATGTACAATGTAAGCCTATTGGGAATTGTCACAATAAATCCCCCTCTTCCTGTACAACAAATTTATCCTAATAAAAAATGTACCTGCTTAAAATGTACAATTCACTGCTTTTCAAACATTTATAGATATATGGATCCATCATCTTTGCAGTGTTTGTCCACTGAGAAACTTTGAGACTTTTCATGATCCCCTGCAATCCCCCTCCATTCACTAAGTGACTTTTTTGTGATTTAGCCACTAATTCACTTTGTGTTTCTTAGATTTGCCTACTCTGTATACCTCACACAAATGAAATCATAGAATATGTGGTCTTTTTTTGAGTTGCTTGTTTTATTTAGTGCTATATTTTCACATGGAGACGTGTGTCATTACTTCCCTTTTATATGGACAACTAATATTCCATATCAGTTGATGGATAGTCAAGTTATTTTCACATTTTAGGGATTGTGAATTGTGTTCTTGCAAACATTTGCTTAGATAGCTCACTCGTTTTCAGCTTTTCTAATTGTATACTTAGGAGAGGCATTGTTAAGTTATGAAGTAATTCTCTGCTGAACTTATTAAAGAACTGATAAAATGTTTCCTATAACTGTTGCCAGGAATGCATGAGGGTTCCAGTTTCTCTACATCCTACCCAACATCTGGTTTTAAATTTTGATTATAGCCACTGTGTGGGTGTGAAGTGGTCTAGCACTGTGGTTTTGATTTGCTCTTCCTGAGTATTAATAATATTGAAAAATGATGGAGAGGCTAATATTTTCTTTATATAGCTGATCAATTCCTTTGCTTTTCTATCACTGGATTGTTTTATTGTTGATATTGTTGAGATGTAAGACTTCTTTATATATTTGGGATACAATTGCATTATCGATAACTATCTTGTAGGTTTTTCTCCTATTCTGTGTCTTTTCATGTTCTTTCCTTAATTTTATTTTTGACTTGGTGTACATTAACAACACAAGGGGGCATCATTGCGATAGTTCATATATACCCACTGTACTTTGAATAAGTTCACTCCATCCATTTTATCCCATCTCTCCCCCCTCTCTTCACCACTTTTTCGAATGTTGTTTGCTGAGTTTCATAAATTTCTTTGAAGTAGAAAATGTTTCATTCTCATTATGTACAATTTATGTATTTTCCTTTTATTATTGGTGTTTTTGTTTGAACTCTAAGAATCATTGCCAAATCTAGGGTCATGAAAGTTTGTTTCCTTGGCTTTCTTCTAAGAGTTTTATAGTTGTAACTCTTATGTTTAGGTCTTTGATGCATGTTCAATAAAGATTGCATATCGTGTGAGGCAAGGGTCTCCTTCATTCCTTTTTGCATGTGGTTATCCAAATATCCTTGTATCATTTCTTGAAACAGTTATTCTTGGTGGTCCCAAAATTCTCTGAGGACAATGGACATGTGGATTTATTTTTGTTCTGTAGGTAATAGAAGTTGTGGAGAGGTGTTCTTGCCTTGTTCCTCATCTTTTGAGATGATGTACTCTATCAGACTTGGAGCTAACTCTATGTTTTCATAGATGCCTTTCTTTGGGGTGAGGAATTTTCCTTCTATGCCTAGTTTCTGGAGAATTTAATCTGGAAAGGATGTTCAATTTTTTCCAAATGAGTTTTTTTTTGCAGCTCTTGATACCTGTGTGGCAATTATTCTTCATCCTATTGATATGTTGTATTACACTTCCTGGCATCCTTGGGTAACCCTATGAGGTTATTGTGTGATTCTTTTCGTATGTTTCCTGAATCAGTTTGCCTAGTATTTCTTGAGGGTGTGTGTGTGTGTGTGTGTGTGTGTGTGTGTGTGTGTGTGTCTTACTTGTGAGTAGTTTTTTTTTCATATGCTCATCTGGTTTCAGTATCAGGATAGTTTTGGTCTTATGGAATGAGTTTGGGAGTTATTGCTACTCTTCTCGTGTTTGGATGTGTTTATGAGGAATTGGTACTAGTTGTTCTTCAAGTGGTAGAATGCACCATTGAAGTTATCTGTAATTGAGTGTTTCCTTGTGGATGTTTTTTAATTCCAAATTTGATCTGTTTATGTGTTACAAGTCTATTTATATTTACTATTTATTTTTTAGTCAGTTTCTATAATTTGTATCTCTCTACAAATGTGTCCAATCCAAGTTATCTACTTGGTGCAATTGTTCTAGTGATACAATTGTTAATGGAATTCCTTTGTAATAATTTTATTTTTCATTTGGGAAATCTCTCCACTTTCTTTATGAATTCTCTTTTTCTGTTGAGCCTAAATCTCTAAATCTATGCAGAGATTTACCATTTTCACGATATTTCAATATTTGCATGATATTTGGTTATATTTATTTGCTAGTGTTTATTCTACATTTCCCTAGTTCCTGTTTGTCCTTCTTACCTTTTTCTTCTTCTTGCTTGAGGCTTAATTTACTGTCCATTTCTTTGGTGATAGGTGGTGTGAAGTTTGATTATCCACTTGAGATTTTTAAAAACAGTTTACAGTTATACATTTGCCTCTAACTACTGCCTTTTCTCCACCTCACACCTTTGGTTTATTGTGTCTTCATTTTGATTCTTCTCACCAAAATTCTTAAATATCCTTTGAAGTTGCTTGCCACCTGGTAGTTGAGGAATATTGTGTAATTTCTATTCACTGCTTTTCTTGAACTGCACAATCCAAGAAAAGACTAGTCTAATACTCAAAAGGGTAAGAGACCAGAGAATGTAATACTGCTCCTTTGACCACTCCAAAGATGTGGAAGGGAACACTGATGTCACTACTGTGGTCATGGCTCTAGGTGTGATGGGCCCAGACTCAGGCAGTGACCTGCAACCCAAAAAAGGTCACAGAGCAAATGTCTTCAGGTTGACGTTCTGATGACTTCTACTCTTAGGATTGTTTCAGACAATTGTAATTGCTCCATGTATGTAAAATTTGTATTTTCATTGTTTTATTATTTCTTTTCTCTCTAGCACTTTTCCCTTTCCTTCTCCCATTATATGAGCTGTTCAATATCACCATATTTCCAAGTGATTCTATAAAGTTTTTCAAAAAATTTGTAAAAAAGACAAAAGAAAATCGCCTGGATTCAAACCAGAAGGTAAAATGTGGTGGTGGTGGTATCATGAGTAAGTTCATGTATGATAAAGTACTGGATATATTCATGGGATGTGTGTGTTTCTCTCTATATTTTGTTAAAGGTACAGAGAATGTTGGGTTCAGAGCAGGAAAATGTTTAAATTTGTGGGGCATCAAGAAGTTGGAAGTGGGGAAGGTCACCGAGAATGAGTCAGAGCCTACCACTTACAACAGGAGTGAAAATTACTGTGCCGTGACACCTGTATCATTGAGATTAAAACCTCTGCCTTTTTCCTTACCTTTAAAACGTCACCAAAGAATAAAAATTACTGTTTAAAAATTATATTTACTGCTATTATCATGTCCCCAGGCTTATACTGTCAAAGAATCGTGTCAGTTCCAAGCCTCTTATTTGATACATTCTCCCAGGCAAGGCCACATCAGAGTACCTGGTAGAGATTCATTGATATAAAACTTGAGCCTCTTCTGGTGTATAATAAGCAGTGGTGTTTCTGGCCATGGTGGCTGCAATGTCTCCTGGAACCTGATGGCAGGAAAAAGGATGTCCACAGATCGGAGAAGCAGGATGGTTATCTCCATGGTCACCAAGAATTTTGTAGTGTTCTGAAAGTATAGAGTATTTGAAGATGCTCACACAAAAGTTGGTACTGAGCTCTGTAAATGACAGTAGACTACCAAACGGGCCATTGCTGAATGATTAAGGCAGGAGAACAAAAGATTGAATTCCAGAACTTCATCCTGAGCAAGCAGGTGTGACAGGAGAAAGATCCGGCCACTATCTGGCCAGAGTCCTTGTCAAAAGGCAGTGAAACTCAGGTTCAGATTCAGCAAACACCAAAATCTGTTGGACATAACAGTTGTGTTTCTCTCAGAGAAACTTTCTGTTTCCTCAAAATTTACTGATTGGTGTTTTTGTTCATTCAGGACTCAGGCAACCCCATTCTCATTTGTGGACATAAAGGAATGATATTCTCAGAAGTGTGGTTAAATTCTGCCATCTTGATTCACTTCTAAGCTAACAATTGACCTTCTGTCTTGGAAATTTCTCTCTCCTCTTCCAGCAACGAGTGGATTTTCTTCAGTTGATGCTGAACTCCCAGAACTCCAAAGACACAGGGTCCCTTAAAGGTAACTCAGGATGCTTCGTGGTCTATGAACCAGGGAAGCTCAGAGAGAAAAGATTTTTCTAGAACTGTGCAGGAGGATTTTCAGGCAGAGGAGTATTTCTGCCAAGTTGCAGAAAGACACACAGTGGATATTACATACAGCGGCCCGAGGGACATTCTAAAGCACATGGATAGCTTGAAGGGGAATTGTAAATACCTATTTCATGCCTGGCAGTCCTCAGTGGTCTTGGATCACCTACATCAGAACAAATGCTGATGCTTAATCTCATCCAGACCCACTGAGTCAGAACCTCTGGGTGGAAATTCGCATCCAGACCAGTCAGGAGGACCACTGTCCAAAGAGTGAGGATGCTCACTGGGAGCCCTTGGTGAAAGTGTGTGTACCAGCTTAATCTGATGTATTTTTCTTTTCATAATGAATTAGTAGGTTCTGGGGAAAACCTCTGTAATTTTGTAAATACCCTGCTCCTCTTCATTCTCTTTTCCATTGCTTTCATCATCCATAGATGTTTTTTGACTCAAATCATTATGCTTATTTTAACATATGCATTTACTTACATTAGTGTGATCTTATGTATTCCCAATTGACTCTCAAAAATGAGAATATTTGTTTTGCATTGAAAATTATCTCCAGTATTTATTTTTGAAGCCATTTCTTGTAGCCTCCTGGGCCCCATCTTCTTTTATTTACTGCCTTTTAAAATCATTATTTCTTTGTTGGTTGAGGGCAGGTGGTACTGGGGTATTGCTCACACCTATAATCCCAGCTACTTGGCAGGCAGAGTAGGAGCAGCATGGTTCCAAGGCTAGCCCATGCACTGGCCCAAGACCCTGTGTGAAAAAATAACTAAAACAAAAGGTGTGGAGACAGGACTCAACTGACAGAACACTTGCCTAGCAAGCAGAAGGCCCTGAAGTCAAACCAGAGTGTTGCCAATAAAAAAGTAAATATTCACACGTGGTTGCGGGTCACCATACTGGACAGCAAAGTGGTAAGCTTTGACTTTGTAGTCCAGTTTTTCTTCAGTGGCCTGGGATTCGAGGTAACTGGAAGAAAGAATTTAATAGTTGATTTTACTCACAGCCGCATCACAGAATTCATGATGGGTAGATCAGAAATCTGTAGACCTTTCTCACAGCCATTTGCATTGCTTTTCACTTTGAATTATGTGCATGGGTGATGAATTTGACTGATCCAGCATTCTAATACCCAAAAAGACCATTGAAGTCCTGATGCCTGAGCCCCACTTTCCTTTATTTCTTGCCCAAGGCCTTTCTATGAATGACATTCTTTCTTCTGCTACTTCAATGGCATTCATTATTCAAGGATCAGGCACTACTCTGCTAGAGTTTTGTCTTTCCCTATAGTTTCCTTACATCTGGATATCACTCTCTGTGAAGACAGGTGTCCAAGTCTCATACCTGATGTCTTTCAAAAGCATAATCCCCGATTCTCAAGAAAGGTTGTATGCACAAATCTCCACGTGTGGTGAAAGTTCAGGTTGTGACTCAGTAGGTCTGAATGGGTTTGATATTTTGCATTTCTATGAAGATGCTACCAAGTACATGGACCACACTTTGAGTAGTTTCTTTGACCCCCAACATTATTCCCTTAAATTTAGACTAAAGTCCATTAATAATGTATGCAATGAAGCTTTAGTATGACAAGCTATCTCAATCATTTGTATTTTAGCTAGAAATGTTCAGACTTTTTTCTGAGGGACAAAGTCACTCCAGTTTTAACATGTAGTTAAATTGCTCTTTTTTATTAGGATATATTTGTTACACGGGGGAACTTCACAGTGACATTTCCCCCAATTAGACTTATATTGTACCATTGTCTCTCCTCTTAGCCCCCTCCCTGCTCCACTTAAAGCAATCGCAAGAGGTTTCTTTGTTCTCTTTCATATAGGTATATGAAGCCCATCAACCAAATTCCAGCACCTTCATCTTCTTCAGTCCCCCACTTCCCCCATCAGTTCTGTTTTCATCAATATTTAAGGTGTTTCAAAGGGGTTTCTCAATGCATCCCCATGTCCCTTACATTGGTCTTTCAACCCCTTCCATTGCTCTCCCTTACCCTCTTTACCTCCTGCCCACTTATTTTTTAAAAGCTTTCAATACACATCCTTATATCCTCTACCTTCACAGATCTTCTGTTTCCTGATATTACCGATGCTCTGTCATTCTCTTTTCTTTTCCCTCTTTCCCCGAGTTCCATAGGGTAGTTCCACTTTTGCAAACATGTTCAACTTCTGAATTTGTATGTGGTCATATTTGTTTTTGTGTATGTGTTTATCTTGCCAAATTTCTGTTATGCTATCCTAGGTGTAGTGATCACACTGTGTGTATTAGGCAGAAAAACTATCTCTTGAAATTCCTAGCTGTGGTGGTGAGGATGGTAGAATCAGGTTCAGATGAAAACGATTTTCCTTTTTGTGGCTGTGTCAGATAGACGTTAGGGAGAAACCCAGGCTCAATGTTTCTCTGAATTGTTTTCTGTGTTCCTTCCTAGGTATTTGTTAGCTACATTTAGAGTCCTCCTCATGGAAACCTAAATGATGGTATACATTCTCCTGCTCTTCTGAAATATTTCCTTCCTTTTTAGCTCTATCTGATCAGGAAATTGTGGCTCAATCAGCTATCTTCATTGTTGCTGGCTACGACGCGACTAGCAGTACCCTCTCTGTTCTCATGCATGTCTTGGCCACTCACTCTGATGTACAGAAGAAACTGCAGAAGGAGATTGACACAACTTTTCCCAATAAAGTGAGTGCATGGAACCTGGAGAGGGAGCGAGGACGTGAAACCTTAATAAAAATACCCCCTTAGCACTTGCAATAAAAATATTTCTAAGGAAAGTAAGCATTGATTCTTTCACTAGTGACATTTATGATGGGAATAAATAGAGATATAGAGGGAAAGACATAGGAAATATATTCTGTCCACAGAAGAATAAAATCTTTGTGATACAGGCTGGTCCTGGTGAATCTGTAACTATTACCACAGTAATACAAACTAAGAAACACCCAAAAAGCATTAGTCACATGTAAACATACCTATTAATCACTCACGTGTCTGGATTGTGCTGACATGCTAGATGTACTATGGTCTTACTGTTGGCTGATTGAGGTTGACTTTGGTTGGGCTGTGTGGGTTGACTTGGATCTGCCCCACACATCCTCACACTTTAGAGCCAGAAGTGAAGAAGCAAAGCTATGAGCCAGGGTTTGTGGGTCCTGAGCCAAACTCTTAGCCTCTACATAATGGTCTTTCTCCAATGTCACACCTAGTGATAGCCACACTTTGCTCACATGGTCTTAATATTGCTCTCCAACTGGAATGCTTTAGGATGAAAAATTAATGGAACACTGGGCTGTTGTGGCTGGCTCTGCAGTGATGTGAGCACAGATCAAGTCAAGCCCTAAAGTAACAAGCTGGAGATTGGTCCAGCAACCTTGATGGGGCTTATTGTGGATTCCTTTTCTCATTGGACCCTTTACTAGAATGAAATTATGTGACCTGGTAACAGCCAACCATAACCTTCATTTGTCATAATGGCACAGAAAAGGAGTAATTTCTCCACAAATTATTCATAGAGAATCATTTTAATATACTATTTCTTTCCTAATTATATATACATACATAATACATATACATATATACACATGTATAATCTAAGAAATTATTAAGCAATATCTGTCAATTGAAAAGCTTATATTCTGGGCATGGTAACATATGCCTATAATCCCAGCTTCCCAGGAGGTTGAGGCTGGAGGATCATGAGTTCCCACCAAGCTGGGGCAACACAGTGAGATCCTATTCTTAAAAAAACTGATGTGGATTAAGAATAGGGGATTTTGTTTCCTTCCATGTGCTATTTCTTTGGTATAGACTTGTGGCCTGTCTGTTGTAAGGTGACAGCAACTTTCCCTATTTTTCTTGAGTGTGATTGTCAAAATGTATCAGTTACATTCCCTCATGTGAGCAAGTGAAACAACATATGGTGATGCTGAGGGTTTCTGACACTGAGCAGTGGATTTTCCAAAATGTCTCTCATATTCACAGCTATACCAAACATCTCAATGGACCGTTCAGCAGGTTATGATAACACATGGTAAATGTCAAGGTCCTTGATGAATTCGAGTTCAACTTTGGAGTTTAGACTGAGTTGACCATGTTGAAAGTAAATTCCTGACCTCAATGTACCAAAATCTATGTCTTTCTTCCCAGGCACCTGTCACCTACGATGCCATGATGGAGATGGAGTATCTGGACATGGTGGTGAATGAGACTCTCAGATTGTATCCAGTTTCTTCAAGGGTTGAGAGACTGTGTAAAAAAGATGTTGAAATCAGAGGTTTATATATTCCTAAAGGGGTAGTGATGATGGTACCAGTCTTTGTTCTTCATCGGGACCCAGAGCACTGGCCAGAGCCTGAGGAGTTCCGTCCCGAAAGGTATGAGAACCCTGAGAGAAGGAGTTGCTTACTAAGTCAAACTGGCCCAAGACCATTAGGAGAGGACATACCTGTGATTTTGCATTCATTTGCAACTATGTATTTTTTAGAAATTTTAAATTATAAATTGATAGTTTTAGAATGTGCACAAACGTTAGAACAAAAATAAAAAGCATATGCCCAGTCAGAGTTCCATCTCTTACGAAAAAACCCAGCAACAGGTTGTTGTTTGTCTTCCTGTACATATTCCTATTCATAAATAGATTTTTAAGCTAATTTGATATTTCTCTTCACTTGTGTTTTAAAGTTCAGCTTACTTACAGTAAACTATGTCCACCATTTTATTATACATATGGACATATGCATGTATGTTTCTATATACACAATTTAATACATACAAAGATATATGTATATGTATATATATATATATATATATATAGTTAATTAATTAGTAATATACATCCCCATGCCCAATTTTTCCATTGAGTTGAGGTCTTGTGAACTTTTATTTCCTGGGCTGATCTGGGACCACGATCCTCCTGTGTATCTGGGATGACAGGCTTGTGCCATTGTGTCCAGCTGTTTCTTCAGAAGGGGTCTACCACACTTTTTTGTACAGGATAGCTTCAAACCATCATTGCTCCAATCTCAGCCTCCCAAATAGCCAGAAGAATGAGCTTGAATGTTTCAGTGTTTTTCAATGTGTCAATTATATGTCCCAACATCTATCTGACTACTTCAGGAGTCCAATACACAAACCACCACAACTCTCTCCTGATTTTGTATTGCTCTATCACTTGTGTGTATTTCTGAATGTTCTCCATTGTATGATGATTCCTATAAATATATACAATTTTGACACCCTTATCACTTCCCCAAATCAACATTTTTCCTTAATAATGAGGAATCTAATTTGAATTGAACACAGAGCTAAACTGTCAGTAACTTTAAGCCTATTGGCAGAGATAAACAAGGATTCAGTAATGATACTGCCATAGAGAAGTATCCTGTGCCCTTGTAAATTATCTGACTTTGACAATTCTTTGGAGCTTTTAGAGAAAGAGAAAGAGAGAATTAGAGACAGGAGTAGAAGGAGGAGGAGGAAGAACAAGAGGAAGAGGAGGACAAGACAGAGGATGAGGAGCATGACAAAAAGGGGAAGAAAGACAGGAGAGGGACAGAGGGAAGGAGAGAGAGAGAGAAAGAGAGAGAGGCAAGTAAACCATGACAGCTTCAACAATGACAGAGATTTTCTCTTGGTCCCCCTTCAATAACCATATGAATAACATAGGTGTAAGGCACAAAACTTCTTTTATTCTAATCAGTCTGATTCCTATGTGCCTTTCAGAAGGTGAACACACCATCACCCAAAATCAAATTGTAGTGGTAAAGATATATTTTCTTTCACATAGCAGTCACCTTGTCTCACCTCAACCATACTGGAAGGGTATTGGAAGAAGAAAGGATCTTTAGCATGCAATTCTCAGAGCCTAATCTTGGTGACAGGGATTTCAGTGACCAGCCCACAAAAGGACCATGTGGACTACAGTTTATGTGACTCTTGGGGGAGTTGTATTTCATTGACTTGTTTTTATTAACTATTGTGGAGGCAGGTTCAGCAAGGAGAACAAGGAGAGAATTGATCCTTACACATATATGCCCTTTGGAGCTGGACCCCGAAACTGTATTGGAATGAGATTTGCTCTCATGAACGTGAAACTTGCTCTCGTCAGAGTTCTGCAGAACTTCTCCTTCCAACCTTGTAAAGAAACCCAGGTGAGACAGAACACCTTCTGTATAAATAATGATTTATTAAGAGGTCATCATTTCAGCTGAGGGGTCTCTGTACCAAATTCTTTTAGTAACTTGCTCTATGACCAAAAGATGTATTTGCAGCTAGGCATTAGCCTTAAGGGTCCTTCCCTTCTGGAGCTATAAATCTGTGTCTGTGTAATACACAACTATAATGATCGTGTAGAGGATGACCTGATTATAGTGGTCTCTTTGAAATTGAGTAATATTTTTAATTTATTTTCAAGTCAACTGGAGAAAAGACATGTTGTGGGAACATGAAAAACAACTATCACCTTGTAATGTTTTTGGAGTAGTGCTCTCGTGCACCGGAAGTTACAGATGCCCTTCTGTGACAGTTTCTCAACCTCTGCCTATTCATTGAAATCATTGAGGGCATTAAAAACTTACGAGACCTGGTCATCTCAGTGATTCTACAATAATCTTGCAGAGTGTGGCTTTAATAGTTTCTCCATGGTTATCACGCGTAGTTAAGTTTGGAGATACATGGTGTAAAGCATTACTTCTGGATATGAAGAACCATTCAGGTCCATTTTGAGTATTTGACCTCAACTTTTAGGAGTTCTTCTCCAGACAAACTGGTTCCTATTCCATTTTCATAAGGCATGTGTCTTCTTCTGTCTGCCTGATTCTATTCTCATCCTTCAAGTTCAAGTGAATCTCTACATTCCTGCAAGGAACATTCTCCTTCTGTTCCAGGACCCAATTTCTCTTCTGCTCTATTATTGGTTAATTCCCAGCCATTACCATCACCTATGTTAAGACTTTGTCATTCAGTGATTCAGTTTGGTTCTCAGTGTTTTCTCTGTATTTAATACCTTCCCCTTCCTTCTAATAACACCTCATTTCATTCTTCCATAAACTCTCAATGGTAACTTGCAGTGTGGTTTGATTGAAAGGAACTGGTAAATGTTTAAAGTTGGACTTATAGTTATAGTCAAATTCTTATATACATATCACAAAGTATTTTAAGTTATAGTAATTGAGTCAACCCTTAGTACTGCCAAAAACAATTTTGTATATGTGCACGTGTGTATCTTTCTATGTATCTGTCTCTGAAAATCATGCCTACTCATTGATATTTTAAAAGAATAACATGGTGCAGTGAGGGAAAAGAACTGAAATCTCTCCCTTGAAGAGTCTGAACAATATTTTTCTCTGCATCCCTGGGATTAAGCTGACTTGGTCATGGTGAATGATGTGTTGTTGGATTTTGTTTGCCATTATTTTATTCACAATATTTGTGTCGATGTTCATTAAGGAGATTGGCCTATAGTTCTCCTTTTTTGATGTGTCTGTGTCTGGTTTGGGGATGACTGTAATACTGGCTTCATAAAAGAGTTAGTCAGTGTTCCTTCCCTTTCTATTTCAGAGACAAGTTTAAGGAGGGTTGGTATGAGTTCTCCCTTAAAGGTCTGATAGAATTCAGCAGAGAATCCATCAGGTCTTGGACTTTTCTTTTTTGGGAGACTCTTTATTGCTGCTTCAATTTCATTTTGTGTTTAGATCTATTTAGATGATTAATGTCCTCTTGGTTCAATTTTGGATAGTCACAAGTATTTAGAAATTTGTCCATTTCTTCAAGATTTTCAAATTTATTAGAATACAGGTTCTCAAAGCATTCTCTGATTATTTCCTGGATTTCCATGGTGTTTGTCCTTATCTCCCCTTTTGCATTTCTGATTCCACTGATTTGAGCTTTTTCTCTCCTCATTTTAGTCAGATTTGCCAGGAGTCTGTTAATCTTGTTTATTTTTTTCAAAGAATCAGTTTTTTGTTTCATTGATTCTTTGTATGGTTTTTTTGTATGTATTTCATTATTTTCAGCCCTTGTTTTTATTATTTCTCTCCTTCTCCTTGTTTTGGGATTTGCTTGTTCTTGTTTTTCTAGGGATTTGAAATGTAGCTTTAAGTCATTGATTTGAGATCTTTATGCCCTTTTAATATATGCACTCAAGGCTATAAACTTTCCTCTTATGACTGCCTTTGCTGTGTCCCATAGGTTATGATAGGTCATGTTTCCATTTTCATTAACTTCCAGGAAACTTTTAATTTCCTCTTTTATTTCATCAATGACCTATTCATCATTAAGCAATGTGTTGTTCAGCTTCCAATTATTTACATATTTTCTACTATTTTTTTGGTTGTTGAGTTCTAGTTTTAATGCATTGTGATCAGATAGAATTCATGGGATTATTTCTATTTTCTTATATTTGCTGAGGCTTGCTTTGTGCCCTAAGATATGACTAATTTTAGAGAATCTTCTGTGGACTGCTGAGAGGAATATATATTGTGCAGAGGTTGGATGAAATACTCTGTAGACATCATCTAGGTCCATTTGACCTATGGTGTGATTTGGGTCTAGAATTTCTTTATTGATTTTTTGTTTGGATGATTTCTCTATTGGTGACAGGTGGTATTTAAGTCTCCCCCTACCATTGTGTTGGAGTCTATATATGGTTTTAGGTCATTCAGTGTATGTTTGATAAAGTGGGTTGCACTGACATTGGGTGCATATCAGTTGATAAATGTTATTTCCTTTCGGTGTATTTCACCTTTTATTAGTATGGAGTGTCCTTTATCTCATTTGATCAATGTAATTTTGAAGTCTACTTTGTCTGAGGTAAGCATTGCTACTCCTGCCTGTTTTCAGGGGCCATTGGCTTGGAAAATCTTCTTCCATCCTTTTACCCTTAGCCAGTGCTTGTTTCTGTCAATGAGATGGGTCTCCTGTAAGCACAGATTATTGGTTTTTCCTTTTTAATCCAGTTGGCCAAACAGTGTCTTTTGATGGAGAGTTAAGTGTGTTAATATTCAGTGTAATATTGATAGGTATGTGGTGATTCCTGTCATTTAGTTGTCTTTGTTGTTTAAGGGTTTGATTGTGTGCAGCTGAATCAATGTTGATCTCTACTTTCTTGTCTTTTCTTCTCCTGTGGTTTGGTACTGCCTGTCCTTTCATGGTTTTGTTTGGTTTCATTTTCTTGTGCATAATTCCTTGAAGAATATTTTGTAGTGGTGGCTTGGTGGTCATATACAGTTTTAGTTTCTGCTTATCATGAAGACTTTTATTGCTGCATCTATTTTGAATGATCATTTTGCTGGGTAGAGTATCTTAGGGTTGAAGTTATTTTCAATCAGTGCCCGGAAGGCCTCACTCCATGCTCTTCTTGTTTTTAAGATTTCCATTGAGAAATTTGCTATGATTTTGATGGGTTTACCTTTATATGTTATTTGCTTTTTCTTTCTTACTGCCTTCAATATTCTTTTTCTATTCTCTGTGCTTGTTGTTTTAATGATAATATGTTGTGAGGTAGTTCTGTTTTGGTCAAGTTTGTTTGGTGTCCTGGAGGCTTCCTGTACCTGAATGTGCATAGCTTTCTCTAGATCTGGGAAATTTTCTGTTGTTATTTTGTTGAATATATTATGAATACCTTTTGCTAGTACCTCTTCTCCTTCAGTACCCATGATTTTCAGGTTTGATCTTTTGATGGAGTCAGTGAGTTCTTGCAAATTCCTTTCACAGGTCTTGAGTTGTTTGTGTAATAGCTCTTCAGTTTCTCCTTTAATTTCCATTTTATTTTCAAGTTCTAAGATTCTGTCTTCTGCTTGTTGAAGTCTGCTGGAGTGGCCTTCCATTGTGTTTTGTATTTCTGTTTCATTCTTTTTTCTGAGGTTTTCCATATCATGGGTCACTTCTTTATTATTCTCAATTATCATCTTTAGTTCATTTATCTCTGTATTTATAGTGTTCTCTGTTTCACTTTGGTGTTTATTTAGGACTCCTATGAGTTCATTTACTTGTTTCTGTGTCTTCTCATAGTCTTTATTTTTGGTGTCTTGGAATTTCTTGAGTACTTCTTATATATTTTGATTGACCATGTCTAGTAACATCTCCATGAAATTTTCAGAGATTACTTGCAGGATTTCTTCTATAAAGAAGTTATTGTGGGCATTGTGGGGTCCTTTATGTCATTTATCTTTGTTTTTTTTTGGAGTCCGGAACAGGGCATCTGTTTTCTTCATTTTCCTTTGAATCCTGTATTAAATTATTTTTGGGGAGAGAATGGCTTCCATCCCTTTTTCATCTTCCCATTGCTCCACTTGGTACTGGGTATATATGTTGTTAATAGTTGTTGGTTTCCATCATCTGTTTTCTTTCCCTTGGTTTAATTTTGCTTTGTTTGTATTTTTCTCTTGATTTAATTTTGGTTTGTTTGTGTATTGGATTTTTAACTTAGGGTATGAATGCTTTTTCTGTCCCTGGTCTGGGTGTAATTTTGTATTACACCCAGTAATACAAAATTATTAGTTTCACAATAGTAAAACTAACAAAACACAACAGAACAACAACAAGAAACCCAAAACAAATCAATGTGGAGAGATGAACAAACAAACACAGACAAAGAAGAAACAAAACAAACAAACAAACATATAAGAAAACTCCAGGTTCAGGAACAATAGAATTTCAGTCTTAGTATTTCTGGTGTTACTCCTTCAGCATCCAGTCCTGGTGTTGGTATTTAAGCAGAAGCTCGTCCTAGTTTCAACAGGTGGTTAGGTAGTGTTTTTTATTTCTGTCTTTCAGTGGCAGCTGCTTGGTCAGCTCCTCCCTCAGTGAGGTGTGGCAGTTTAAGTTGGTATGTTATCTTCAGGTTCTGGAGATCAGCTCTGTAGCTCACCAGCTGTCCTGCCTTTTGAGTTGGGTTTTCTCAGTGTTGGTTAACTGGGAGTTTGTTTCTTTGCCTTGCCCCCTTTCTCTGGAGCAAGGTCAGTGAGCTGTCAGTTGGCCCCCTGTTGTCAGCATGTTGTGATGGTTTGCTGATTATTTTTCAATTTTTCAGTGTTGTTTGACTTTGGCTGTTGCTCACTGGCTCAGAAGATGAGCTTTGTGGGCTACTACCTGCCCTTTTTCAAGCAGTGGCTTATCATCCACCCACTGTCAGCCCTCCTGCGTTTCCAGCCATTTGTTTACTGAAGTTTGTGAGGAGCTCAGCTCCTTGCCTTTCCCCCCTTCTCCAGTGCACTTTCAGAGCTCCTGCCCTCCTTGCTGTGTGCCAGTTTTCAGTTCATTGTTTATTCAGGCTTTTTTTTGTGGGGTGGGCAGTCTTCCCAGGGGGATATGCAGGTTTATCCTAGGGGTGGATGGGGGCATACTGCCTGACACTCAGTGCTCACTTTTTGTTCTACTGAATGTCTCCTAGGCAGGTTTGGAGCTGGCATCCGGCAACTCAGGAGCCCTCCTGTTTTCTCAGTGTAATGTGTTGTGAGAAGATTTACACAGGCTAGTGGTCCAGGATGTTGAAGTTTTGATTCTTCTTGATGCTTTATTCTGCCTAGGGTGGCTCCAGCATCTCAGCAATATTTTTCATTTATGGACCTCATGCTGTCTGCTTTTGTGCCCTAGTCGCCATCTTAGATCCTCTCTGGTTTAAAATTTTTACGCTCATTTTTACTGAAAATTTAAATCAATAGAAAATGTAAAGCAAACAAGACAACCTTATTTTTTCTACTCAGACGTGGTACACAGCAGGTGCTCAGTAAATATTTTACTATAAGAACATTGGGGTGAATTATTTCACTATCCATTCTTGACACAGCTTAGAGAACAAAAAAAGGGACTCAAGATCTATAGGCTTGCAAAAAGTAGTTTTTATGTGTTCGTAAAGCATTACTGTCCTAATGTATCTTTTCTACTTTCCTTCTGTGTTTGTTGATGTTTCACTGGTTGCTTCTCATTGTGCTTCCTCAACCATTGCAGATTCCCCTGAGATTGAGCCGCAATCAGATTCTTCTCCCAGAAAAGCCCATTGTTCTGAAGGTGATGTCAAGAGATGGGACCATAAGTAGAGCATAAATTTCCCTCAGGACTTCTGCTATGACCTTCAAGGAGTCTGTTTCCCAGAACACCAGAAAATTTAATTTAGTTTGTGAGTAATAACAAGATGAACATGACTTAATCTGTAGCTTGTGATAGATAATTAGGGAATTTGGGAATTCATTGAGCTTACTCATTGTGTGTGGATTGTCATCGATTTTGTAATGTGAAGGAAATGACTGAGTGCTCAATATATAGACTGATAGATTCAGGTTCTCTGGTTCTCATGGGATTATCTCCATTCACCTTCATCAATTCCTTCTGATGATGATCACAGTGAATATTTCTCTGTCATTTTTAACTAAACTGGTAATGATTATGGTGACTACAGCAGTGAATTTACATCAAATATTGTCTTTGCAATATACTACAATAAGTGTTATATTGAGAATACAAATAAATACCTCTTTTGAAAAACATCTGATGTCTTTGTACACATTGGAAGGGAAGTTAGAGAGCTATATCAGGAGAAGCGAGTGTAAATGCTTTTGGTCATCATAGTCTCTGGTTGTGTGGGCCTTTTTCAAACTCCCAACCTGATTATGTAGGTAAGTGACAGTGAATTCACTATGACTTTGCCCATTTCTTGGAGAGTTTAATTGTGCCATTTAAAAAACACATAATTGTTGACAAATCCTATGGGAGTCAATATTTTATTTTTTTTCAGTTTTTCTTTATACCTTGATATTCTGAAAGGCAGGAAACACGTTTTTTAAATACCTGTTTCTATTACATCTCTAACTCTAAACTGTTGTAGTAGTGTAAACAGTAAATAAAAATGGTTGGTTGGATAACTGATAAGGCAGCAAGGCTGAAAGAATTTGTCAGTTTCTTCTGATTTCAGAAGCTTCGCAAGGTTCTTCCTTTTCCTTTTCTGCATTTTTAATTCTCTTCCTGAGCAATTCAGTCCTAAAACCACACCTGGATGCCAGGAAGATAGCCACATACTGGGGTGGAGGACAGAGTCATGGTGGTCCAAGTCAGGCATCAAGTAGGGTGGGGAAAGCAGAATGTGAAGGAAAGCTTGATCTGGGTGTGGGAGTCCAAAGAAGGTGGGGAAGTTTCCAGACTAAGCATGTCCTGACATGACCAGCCATTGCTGAAATATGTGTGGAAAACCCAGGTAAATTCAGGAAGGTATCCATTGAAAAGATGGGATGGATGAAAGTTTGCTATATTAAAAAGAATTGATTAAGTAACTAAATATGTCAAGGATAGTGGAAATATTTTTGTCAATATTGGAGAAGGCAGTTAGAAAAATCACAAAGTAGATATATGGAATAAATGCAATAAGGTCAGACTGGAATGGGATGTTTCATACTTTTCTAGAAGATAAGAGAATAGGTGTAAAAGTGTGTGTGTATATTCCCTAATATCCTCACTGACAGGGCTAGATAGAATGATGGTGTAGCAGCATGAGCAGACCTCCTACCCTGATCCTGGCTAATAAATACTAGTTTCTACAGTAGGAAAGCAGAGCTATTTTAGAGAAGTAATGATTGTTCTGTGAAAGCTGGGAAGGTCAAGATGATCTTGGAATCTTGTTGTGCCAGAAAGGAAGAAAGTGCCCCCAAAGAATTGGGATACATCCAAAAGGCAAAGATGGAGAGACCAAGATAGTGGATAGTCAATAGACCCTGGAACCCTGAGCTTTCATGAGTCTAAAGGAATTCTTCAGCTTCATGGTAGAGAGGATCTGGTAACCTGGCTTTATGCCAACTAGGATACTGACAGTACATAGGGGGAACATAATGTACAAGGACCAGCCTTTAAATTAGCTTTTTGTGGTACTAGGGTTTGAACTCAGAGCCTCACACTAGTTAAGAAGGTGCTGTAACACTTGTGCCACTCCATTATCCCCAACTCAGCTTCTTATAGCACATTACAGCCCTAAAAGGCTGGGTGGTATGGACTGGCAGCTCTGCTGGCCCACCTGCTTGAAAACTTTCTCTCCAGGTCTTTTGTTGTGATTGATTTTTTGTTTTTCCTCTCTCCAAAGAGTAAAATCTCAATGCAGAGAACTGTAGAATAGTTCTGTAAGCATCTGGAATGTCCTGGACCCACCAAAATTCATGGTTGTGGAACTTCTGTCTGTTGCCTACATGTGACCAAGGCTGCTGGCCCTTGATAGCACCAAAAAGAACTACAAAGCTTTGTGATGAGTGTGCTGCACCATATGCTCTGGAGAAAAACCACATCCTTTGAAATGAAACCAAGGACATTATTTTAACAAAGATAAATGAAATAAAGAAGACATGAAAAGGAGTTTAAGAACAATATAAAGGCTCAAAAAATGAAACAGAAACCTTCAAAACAAAATTTTCTTAAGTCAAAAGATATAGTTGAAAGCCACTCCAACAGACTGGGACAAGTGGAAGACAGAATTTCATGACTTGAAGCAAAATAGACGTTAAAGAAAAACAGAATGCTTGGACAAAAGACTGAAGAGCTGCAAAAGCAATATGCAAGAACTCTACAATTCTACCAGAACATCAAACCTGCAAATCATGGACATCAAGGAAAGAGAATAGGGGCAAGACAAAGTAATAGGTAATATATTCAACAAAATAATAGCAGGAAACTTCTAAAATCTCAAAGAGAGATGCCTATCCACATACAGGAAGCCTGAAGGACTCCAAACAGACATGACCAAAAATAGAACCTCTCATTGCATGTTATCATTAAAAATAATTAGCACAGAGAGCAAGGAAAGATTATTGAAAGAGGAAAAATCAAATAACATGTAAAAGTAAATCCTTCAAAATAACAGCAGAATTCTCAACAGAAACCTTAAGTGCAAGAATGGCATGGAGTGAAGTACCTTGAGTGCTGAAAGAAAACAATTCAAATCTTAAAGTATCATTTAAAATTGAAGGAGGAATAAAACATTTCATAATAAATAGAAACTTAAACAATAAATGACCACTAAACCAGCACTTCAGAAGATTCTGTGAGGAATGATATACACAAAAGATAAAAATAAAAAGCCATGAAAGGTTGGAAATTATTAAATCTCCAAAAATGTAATAGAAGAGCAAGCAAGTAACTGGAGACTAGTACAGAAGTAGTTACATACATAAACCCTACACAACAAAACAGTTAAATGGCAGGAATCACACAGACCTCTTAATATTAACACTGAATATTAATGGCCTCAACTTCCCCAACAAAATCATTAATTTGGCAAGTGGATTAAAAAGGAAGATCCAACGATTCATTGTTTACAAGAAACTCACCTTACTGACAAAAAAAAAAATTGGCTTATGCTGAAAAGCTAGAAAATGACTTAACAAGCTAACCACCCCAAAAGCATCCTGGAGTAGTTCTGCTTATGTAAATTATATTTCAGTCCTCAATTAGTTGGAAGAGACAAAGAAAGTCACTTCATACTAATAAAGAAACAGTGCATCTATAGGAACTAACAAATGATAATTTTTACACACCCAACTTCATTTAACGTATATTACTGGACTTAAAATAACAAATAGACACCCAACACAGTGGTAGTGGGTGATGTCAATACTTCTCTATCACCAATATATAAGTCATACAGACAAAAAATCAGAAAATGTAGCATTAAATGACACCATAGACCAAATGGAATTGACACGTCTACAGAGTATTCCATTCTGCAACAGCACAATATACATTTTCATAGCAGCCTGCAGAATTTTCCCAAAAATAAATCATGTTTTAGGTCACAAAGTAAGTCTTAACCAATATAAGAAAATAAAAATAACTCCCTGCATACTGTCTGACCACAACACAATAAAACAAGAAAAGAAACAGCAGAAAACTACTAAAATGCCTGGAGATTGAACATCATGCTGCTCTATGATCAGTGTACCATTACAGATATACAGGAGGAAATCAAAAAGTTCTTGGGATTTAATGAAAATGTAAGTACAACCAATCAGAATCTATGGGAAACAGCAAAGGCAATCCAAAGAGAAAAATTTATAGCCATGAGTTCATATACTAAAAACACTCAAAGATCTAAATAAATTACCTAAGTCTGCATCTCAAACTCATAGAAAAACAAGAACAAAGTAAACCTAAAACTAGCAGGAGAGACATAATAAAAATAAACCCTCAAATCAACAAAATTAGAGGCCAAAAAAATAGAAAGAATCAACAAAACAAAGAGCTGATTCTTTGAAAAGATAAACAAGATTGATAAACTTCAAGAAAATCTGGCTAAGATAAGGAAGTGAAAGACCAACTTGATAAAATTAGAAACTAAAAGGGAGATCACAGCAAACATCAAGGAAATACAGAGATCTATTAGGGACCACTTTGAAAATTATATTTAAATAAATTGGAAAATCTAGAAAAAGTGGACACATTTCTAGATACTTAAAACCATCCAATACTGAGCAAAAAAGGATATGAATCACCTAAATAGATCTATAACACACAATGAAATGAAGCAAAAATAAAGAATACTCCAAAAAAGAAAAGTCCAGGAATTGAAGGATTCACTGCTGAATTCTATAAGACCTCCAAAGAACAACTAATACCAACACTACTCAAACTTTTCCATGATCTATAAAGGGAAGGGACACTGGCAAACTCATTCTATGAAGCAAGTATTACCCTCATCCTCAAACCAGAAAAGAACACAACATAAAAAAGACAATTACAGGCCAAACTCTTTAATGAACTTAAATGCAAAAATTCTGAATAAAATACTGGCAAACGAAATTCAACAACATACCAAAAAGATCATACAGCATGATCAATTCAGATTCATCCCAGGGATACTTTTTGAAGGCTGCACTTCCATATGATCACTGAAGGACACATTACAGGACAATGAATAACTAAGACATAATTTCCGCCCCACTCCTCTCCATGTGGAAACTGGACCTCCACCTGGTAATCCTAATGTACAAAGCACAATTACAACCATGCTTGTATAGCTCAAGTTGTTCAGTTACCAAGCAGTTAGCTTACTGCCTCTGCACATCAACTATCTC